TCTTCAATTAGCTCCCTAATCTCGTCCTCTGCCATGTCCCGGAAGCCTTCAGCAGCCACTTTCCTTGACAGTGCCAGGGTCTTTCTGAATATTTTCATTAAAATCCATCAAAATCATTTTCCTTGTCATCGTCTTAAGCACCAAACAGCTCCTCCCAGTCTTCTCCTTGAACAGGGCTAGTGGGTACGTGTTTTTCGAATCATTTTCAATTAAAAAAAATGTTACAGCACATGTATATTTTACCTAAATTGTGCCTGAATGAATATATTCTCAGAAATAAATAGTAGTTTTGCTGAAACGTGATGTATTTCAATGTAAAATAGGATAAAATACATGACGAAAACAAGAGACTTTACCTAACCTTCCGATGTACAAGATATGTTACTCGTTTTTTTAGTAGTTTTCGGTTAAAATACTCTTATATTAGTGATATTTTATTCATACTGTGCTTGATATAATACATTCACGGAAATGTAATATTTTTGCAACTACAATGCTGATGTCAACACAAGTGTGGTTACAGCGAGACTGACTGAGTGAGGGAGAGCTATGCGTGTGTGTGTGTGTGTGTGTGTGTATGAGGTTGCGGGAGCGGGCGGTGTCCCGTGTTCGGTGCCGAGCGCGAGTTGAATGGCGCGCGATTTGAATGTACTTCAATTACTCCAATGTACAGAATATTCCTCCGGCGGGGCAATCCGCGTATTTGCAAATCCGTGAATGCTAAACCCGTGTATGTGAAGGGCCGACTGTACATCATTACTTCATGACGAAATCGAACACTTGGCAAAAGCCAATCAGCTGTAACTCTTGAGGAGGGGCGGGGCATCTTTTCTCAGCTGAGAAAAAATGCACTATAGTACCGAACGACTGTAATTTAGCTACCATCTAAAGCATTAAAAACATGAATAATATACAGTACTGGTTGAAGCTCCCATATCTGGCAACCATGGGATCAGCTTCTAGCCGGCTATACCAAATTATCGTTATTTAGAAAGTTGTTTCATATGTACACCTAGACCCCGACTTACGACGGGGTTAGGGACCCAAATCCAGGTCGTAAGTCCGACATAGATATAAAAAAAAAATTTTTTTTTTTTTAAATAAAAAATCTACAATGAAATACAGTACAGTAATAGTAATGAATAATGATGAATGGATACAGTACAGTGAAAGTAATAAATAATAAGGAATGGTTACAGTGTGACAGCACTTACCTTTAATGTAGTCAGCTGAATGCACATGGGGCCCCCATAATTTTCTAATTATACATGGAGACTACATTAACTGGAAACGTTTCGGTATAGAAAATGCGTGTCATTTGAAGAAAAAAAAAAAAAAAAAAAAAAAAAAATTTTTTTAATAAAAAATCTGCGGCGGTCGTAAGTCCCGACGGTCGTAAGTCCACGTAGTCGTAAGTCGGGGTCTAGGTGTACTTGGAACATGATACTGATACACTGTATTCCTGTACTTATACAGTGGTCCCTCGGTTAATGAATGGTTCGATTAACGAAATTTTGGTTAACGAATTAGCTCCCATAAGGATTTTCAGTTCGATTAACAAACAAAACTTCATTAACGAAATCCTTACGACAAACACATTTTGTTGTGTGCATCAGCTGATCAGCTAGTCCGCCAATACAGTAGTTGGTTCTACGTTTGCATTCGTTTCCAGTGGAATAAATATCAAGAATGTTGGTCTCTTGAATATTTCTGCATTTTTTATATTAAAATTATTGGTAATTTTGAAATTCAGTTTACATATTGATAATATAGACAGTACAGGGAACAGTTTTTGTGTGCCCATCAGCTGATTGAATCACCCAACAACACTTGTCAGTTTAACTTTGTTTACAGTGGAGTGAACATCGATTTTGTTGGTCTCTTGAATATTTTTGCATTTTTACATAAAAATTATTGGTCATTCTGAAATTTAGTTAACATATTGATAATATACAGTGCAGAAATTATTATGAAACACGAAGAAGGCATTAGAACCAATGCACTCTGTAAAGAATATGGCATGTTATCATCGACTGCCTCTACAATAAGCTGTTTGATATGTAAACAAAGCTGCCGGGAATACAACATACACACCTCAAAGTAAGTTAAAATACAGTATTCAATTGTTTTTTTATTTATTATAGTACAGCATACTGTACAGTACAGTACTGTATTGAGTATATATTTAATGTTTTGTTAATTCTATTACTGGTATACAGTACTGTACTTTGTATGTACTTTTTCTGTGAGTTGGAACCAATTACCTAATATCCCATTGAAATAATAGACTCAGTTAACGAAATTTTCGGTTAACAAACGACTCTGTGGAACGAATTGTGTTCATTAACAGGGGGACCACTGTACACTATTTAACAATTGTGCTACTTCAAGCAACATTTGCATACATTACTTCAAGATGAAAATATGCAGCTAAAACCTTCGAGGAGAATTAAAATTAAAGTTTAACACAACTGCCACTTGCATAAGCCACTGGCTGCATGGCCTCAAAGCTCACCATAGCAACACAGCTCAATGGGGACATTGTTTCTGCCAACCCCTTAGCAATGGGGCTCCCACACTCCACTCCCTCGCTCAGTGTGCTAACTCTCTCACGCAATTTTTTTTTTATTTCCTCTATGTTTTTTACCTTATGATAGCTATTTTTTTAATCTTTTCGCACATTGTGTGTGCATGTAACTCACGAAAAAAATAAATAAAAAGTGGATTAAGTTATCTACCTAAAATTACGAGTTGAAAAATAACCATAACATGGTTTACAGCTCGGCCTGGTGGTGACGAATCTAACTTGCTAACTTGACAACAATGCCACCAGCGATGTTAAGTGTAACACTTAAATAAGCACACCACCAACCTTGTGGGAGCGATCATCTTAAGGGAGGGCAGTCATGGCTTACCACAAGGAGTGGGGAATTGCAAATGGAAGATGCAGGCTAGGGGGAGATGTGGGAGGGAAAGGGATTTGTTATGATTAGTGAGCGAGAATGCTGACTCCCAGGGCTGTACAATTTTAAATTTTGCCCCAACCAAAATTTTTATAAGCGAGGGTAGCTTTCGTTAAATAAGAAAGAGGTGTTAAGGTAGGAACTTTTTAATGGTGAATTTTCGTATCTCAAACGTTTGTTAAGTGAGGGATACCTGTACTGAATGCAGTGGTAAATCTCCGATTGTTGACAATGTTGTTCTATTGAAATTTGAGAGTTCATTTTCAATAGATCAATAGTTTCTCACCCCCCTTCACAAAAAAAAAAAATAAAATAAATAAATAAATAAAAAAAATAAAAAACTAAAACAAATAAAATTGTAACAGTAACATTGCTAGTGATCTTCTGAACTCCTGTGAATTCACTTTGCAAAATTTATCTAGCTCAAAATAATAAAAAGTACAGTAGTACAGCACTGTATTTGTAAATACAGTGCTGTACAGCCTAGGTTTCTATCACTTATTATAAAAGGGAATTCATGAATATACTCTACTGTATTAGTTTTAAGAATAAACTTTATGCACCAAATTCACATATTTTCTGAAGGTGACTACATTTCTGTAAGATTTAAATGAACAAAAAAGTATGTTTTGTGGAAAACTGTACCTTTGTTAAGCTGTCACTGAATTCTTCAATAGTCATCTTGTCAAGCTGGTGTGATGAAGAGTTTGAAGATGTTGATGTACTTTGGCCACTGTCATCAGAGGTACAGTCCTTAATTTTCACCTCCTCACTCCTTACAGCTTGAGGCTTTGTTAAAATGCCTGAGCCACATGGCACACATTCTTCTGATCCTTTAATTTCTCTTGAGACTTTCATGCACTCAACAATCCCATTCTCCTCAAATAAAGTTTCTCCTTGGAGTAAGCCTAGACCATCACTCGTATTTATGGCATCTTGTTCCAAACCTGATGCCGGCAAACTATTACACAGCTCAGAATTTAGACTACATTTCAAATCTCCTTTTACAGGCCGTCCAGAGTCCTCATCTTGCTCACACACCTGGGCTTCTCCCTCTATGGACAGCTCTGTTTCATTTTCATAGTCCTGTTGCAATTCTAGTCTCTTATGACCTTGGAATTCTTGAATATTTGAGTGAATGTCTCGAGTATCAAGAACATCTGACAGTGAATCTTTTGGTTGTACTTCCACAGAGAATTTACTTTGAACTACAGGTAGTTCTATTCTGTCTTTATCTTGGAATTCTTGAATTTCTGGAATATCAAGAACATCTGACAGTGTATCTGTTGGTTGTTCTATTAAGAATTTATGTTCAGAAGAGCTCCACAGAAAACTGAAGAGAGACCTGTTAGTCTCAGGACAGAAAAAATTCTGGCTTTGTTGGCTGCAAAAATTTTCTTTGTATAATGTGTGCTGGGGACACTGGCAGTTGTGGTCACCAAGGCAACCAGACTGGCTAACACTGTAGCAATATTGGTCTTCACCTTCCTTATTGTGCTGATGCTGTTCACTGTCATTGGTTTTAGGCTTGGAATTAATTTCTTCCTCACTTTGACTAAGAAAAATTTCTTTGCATTGTCTCCTTGTGTTCCAGTGATAACTGTATGGGTGGTTGCCCCAGTCATTATATATGGACCAAGTTAGTACAACAGCTGAACCCTGTAAATTAATAAGTACTTTATTACTGAAAAGTTTAAACATACAGTATAATTCTTTGTTTAATATCCAATACTGCATCCGATTTCACTATACTGTATTGGCTGCCCAGGGCCTCAGAAGGGTCCAGGGGTAAGCCCACTACAAGGGGAGCACCATCCCCTGATGCTCTTGGAGTATTAAGACTTGCCTAAGGTTTATAAAAACACTCAATTAAAATTAAGTAAAAAAATACAGTTTTATGGTTAATCACAGGGATTTTTTTCTGATTAATCATGTGAAAACCATTACAATAATTAAATGTACAAAGCTAAAATATTTACTACATACAGTAATACCTCGGTTTACGCGGTTCTCGTTTACACATTTCCACATTTACGCGGTAACCCGCCAGAACCGAATGCCCACTTTACGCAGTGCATCTACTCACATACGCGGAGAGCAGCTGGCGGTCCTGCCGCGCCGCCATTTTTGGATTCAAACCTCCCGCCATCTCCCGTCATGCTTGGACAAGCGGCGCGGGTAGGTTGCGCAGTGGATGTTTCTGTTGCGTTATCGGTGACGTCATATGACGTATCGGACTGTGATTTGGCCACGCATCCTTACCTCCCTCCGCCGCTAGCTGTGATTGGTTTAATGTAATATGACGTGCCCACCTGCGGGAGGGAGGGCAGACGACGCTTGACCTAGCCGCGTCAGTTACATCCCTCCAAGCTACACCGTGTATACCAGTATCTATTGTTCCGTAAAAATGGCTGCCACCGGACCACCACCACCACAGAAAAACCTTGTATTACCTGGACCCAGCCGCCCTAAGCCAAAGAAGATAAGACGTTCCCTAAGCTACGATGTGAAGTACAAGATTATTCAAGAGTTGGAGAAAGGAACAAAACAAGTAGATTTGGCTCGCCAGCATGGCGTGAACGAATCTACGATCCGGATGATAAAGAAGGATGCAGCCAAGATAAAAGAACACATGAACATCACAAAGTCTGCAGGTGCTTCAATGATCAAGTATTGTTAGAACAAGGAGCGGCTCAAGACTGAAAATTTGCTGGTGAGCTACTTGATTCATCAGGCTTGACGCAACATGGCACTGGACACGCGGTCAGTTCAAGAGTATGCACGTGAACTGTACGCAGCAGTGGCACGTAAGATGGGAATTGCAGAGCCCAAACCCTTCAATGCTTCCTCTGGGTAGCTGCAAAGGTTTAAGAAGAGGAACAAGATCAGCAACATTAACATTGGTGGTGAAGAAGCGAGTGCTGACGTTGTGGCGGCTAGTGATTTTCCTCCATTCTTACGTGAGGTTATGGAGGAAGGACAGTACACCGACGACCAGGTGTTCAACATGGATGAATCTGGTCTGTTTTGGAAAAACCTACCTTCCAAGACCTTCGTTGTCCAGTCTGCCAGCAAGTGTCGGGGCCGGAAGTTGCAGAAGGAGCGCATCACCGTCCTCTTTACCACCAATGCCTCAGGTTCCTGTAAACTCAAGTTATCGGTGATCCACACAGCCCGCAAGCCGCACGCCTACAAGAACATGAACATGACCAAGCTAAATGTCCACTGGCTAACCGGATGTAAGGCATGGATGTTCTCTGCTCTGTCACTTTCCTGGTTTGATGAATGTTTCGTTCGCGACGTGAAGAAATTCTGCGAGCAACAGAATGTTTCATTCAACATTTTGTTGCTCCTTGACAAAGCACCAGGACACTCGCCCCTACTGTTGGATCGTCACCCCAATGTAAAAGTGGTCTTCCTTCCTCCCAACACTACGTCATTAATCCAGCCCCTGGACCCGGAGTTAATCTGCAATGTGAAAGCTGCATACTCTGCAAAGAAGTTTAAGCTCCTGAACGACTGTACCAACACCAAGGATGAGTTGCATAACCTGGGTGACACCGATAGCGAGAGCAACGAGGACGAGGAACAACAGTTGGCGGATGAAGAAGTTCTCGTCAAACAGTTTTGGAAGAAATTTAACATCAAGAAAGATGTGGACTTCTTGGTGGAGGCATGGGATCAGCTGTCTGTAGCAACGGTTCGTCATGCATGGAGACATGTGTTGCAAGGCATTCCAGGTGGGAGGCAGAGTCAATCGGTGACTGGTGAGGTTCAGACTGTTGCAGTAGCAGTGGACCTTGCAAGAAGAGAAACAAGCTGCGCAGAGTGTTACAGCTAAAGGCTTCTCTGAGACCACCAACGACGACATTATGGAGGTGATAAGGGATCCTGAGGTGACTGCCGACGAGATGCTAGATGATGATGACGTCAGTGAAGAGGCAGGTGGTGTATCACGACAACATCAACACTAGCCATCAACAAAGCATTACCGAGTTTTTCGCCCGCAACCCACCCTAGCCAGCCCAAGCCAGTGATAGTGACAGTGATGGTGACTTTGAGGGATTTGTCAGGGAGGCACTGACAACTATGGAGCACAGTGATAGTGATTCACCTGAGGGCCAGTAATCTGCCCTCTGCCTCGGAACCAGCCGCCATTCCCATACGCCGACCCATCTCTTCTACTAACGTAAGTGTTAAACCTAACCTTGATTTTTCCTAACATAACCTAACCTTAGGTAAGTGTTAAACCTTGATTTTTTAAAACATAACCTAACCTTACGTAAGTGTTAAACCTTGATTTTTTCTAACCTAACCTAACCTGACGTAGGTGTTAAACCTTGATTTTTCTTTTACCTGGTACAGTATATTATTCTCTAATTGATATTTCTCTTCTATACTATGTGAGTGTGCATACCATCATAAAGTTGAGATGTTATTTTTACTACAACGTACGTATTGTGTAGGCAAAAAGTGGAGTTTGGGGGTCGGCCCAGTCTCTATTTCAATTAATCCCATATGTTCTGTTAGTCCATTTACGCGTTTCTCGTTTTACGCGGACCTCCGCGGGTTCAATTGACCGCGTAAATTGAGGTATTACTGTACAATTTTCTATAACTAGAGTAGAATGCTACACCGGTATTCATTCTATGTAGCTGTATGATATAATTAATTAAACAAAAAGCCATTTGGCTGCTATATGTGGATTGTACAGTACAATCAAAGAGGTCAGAAATATCACAAAAGTTCTCTAAGAAAAACTGATGTAAAGTCACTTACCCATCCCAATGACTGAAAAACTGAATGCGTAAACAGAAACCGCTTTCGCTGCTGCCAATGACATGCTCTATCCCATTCTTGTCTCTCCTCTCTCTTCTCCCACTTGTTCCTGTTTCTTCTTGGGTTTTCTTGGCGATGTTGGTTAAGGAGTATCTCCCAGTGCCAGGGAGGAGGCCTCCTCATACGATTAGTTGTAAGTTTATCTCCAATTCCACTTCTACTCCATTTCTGTTTTCTCTCTTGGAGATCAGTACATAGTTGAGCAAACTGAAATAATATGATCCTGTTTCCATTTCCCACACATCCAGTATTGTAAATCTTCCCACTGTCTATGCCAGTCACTTGCTTGCTGCTGTTGCTGTTTAATGTTGTGGTGGTATACCATGGTGTTGAGAATGAGCTGTACTGAAGAGTGAGCAAGCATTGTGTTACTGGTCCACATCGATACTTGTTATCTTCTGTGTACTCCTGGCAACCATATTGACTTGGTCTCGCACTTCTCACACCTGGAAAATATATCACAATTAGCTACTATTAAAATACTGTACATCTACAATTAATATTTCCTTAACTACAATGGCACAGGCAAAATACTTCCCAAATTTTCCAGTAACCAATGATTTCAGTATACCCTGTACTGTATTTAAGTGACAAGACCAAACATCTAAGAAGGCAGTGAAAAATTGAACAGACGAGTATTATTCAGCTGGGCTGCAAATAAAGAGGAACAACTCGCTTAACAAAGTCAAAGAATCTGTGAAAGCAGTTACAGCTGCTCCTCGACTTACAACAGGGTTAGGGACACAAATCCAGGTCGTAAGTCGAATTGGTCGTCAGTCGAAAATGCTTAAATAATACATAGAAAATCTAAAATGGGTCTCTTTTTCTTCTCTACACAACAAAACTCTCACTTTTAAGCTCGCCAGCCATTTTAAAGGGAATTACAAACGAAAATTTTGTCAGTACAGAGCGCAATCACTAACGTTGGGAGTCGAAAATACGTAATTTGAAACAAATTTTGGTACGACTGAGGCGGTCTTATGTCTGGGTGGTCGTAGGTCGAGTATGTCGTAAGTTGACAAGCAGACACTTATAACCAAAATTAATCTGAAGATAAAAGCTGTTAATGAACCTAACATGAAGAAGGTTAATGCCTAAATTTGGTCTTATTGTTGTGTGAGGTTGAGTAAGCCAAAGTTAAGGTGTGCAATACTGGACTCTGGGCACTTCCAGACATCCACTGTGAAGTATAATAATTTGTTAAGTACATGGCAATGTTGGAGTAGACTTCTGCTCCACTTGATTATACAAAATTACTTAATTCCATAGAACATTTCTGTAATAGCATAAGGTTCCAAAATATATACAAAATATATATTATACAGTAAAGTGGTCCCTCGGTTAACGAACACAATTCGTTCCAGAAGGTAGTTCGTTAACCGGAACCATTGTTTCAATGGGATTTTGGGTAATTGGTTCCAGCTCACACTTTGAGGTGTGTAT